AAGAATGCCTCAAACAGCATCTTAGAAGGTATGTTTCGAAAATATGGGTACGTTGTATTTTGAAATGTCCTTCAGGGCTTTCGCTCGGCTTCAGTAAAGTGCAGTTTCCTCCGTGATTAAGTTAGAAGTCTTCATTGAAGGAAATGTTTTTAGCAAACTTATTCATTGCCTTTAAATGCTGAGGGCTTGATGTGCCCAACCAACATGGTAACGTATCTTTCAATTCGTTCGTTGGGTAAACAAACAGCAATGGGCCATTCCATTTAATATCTGCACCCCCCTATTGAAGGCCTGGGATCTCTTGGGGGGGGAGGGGGGGTCAATGCTATATTTTTTCTGAGAGGGGTTGAACCATATTTCTGAGAGGGGTCGCCATAAAGTACCCTTGACAGAAATTCTCACTAATAGTTTCTGAAGGGGGTTCAATTGGATTGCTTGATAGCTACATAAAATTCTGAAGGGGGTAATGTCAGGCAATTCTGAAGGGTGTTAAAAAATTTCTCTTCTGGAGAGGTGCTACAGGAAAGCCTTCAATGGGGGAGGGGGGGTGCGGATTTTAAATGGAATGGCCCAATCAGAGTACTGTAGCCAGTGTTTCTGAGAATCCGAGGTCACCTCTTGTAACAATTTTGCACAGGAATTTTTTATCACATTGTACTTAATATTCCTACTGTTTTTCGTTGATTGATATTGAATTTACTCGCTCAAGAATTATTGGTAAATTTAGCGGAAAGCTTTAACACAGTCGAAACGCTTTAATGACACCAAAAAAACTCAACATTTCGTAAACAAAATCAGGTCATCATGATCGACTAGATCACATATAATCTAATTACGGCAACTATACCTGGGATTAATTAAACTCGACATCGTGCAGCTTTCGTTTACTTCCGCAGACAAAGAGTCCTTTTAGTTTCTTCACTAAGTACTGCTAAATATTAATCGAAAGAAAGTTCGAATTCAGGAGACAAGTTCAGCCGAATTTAGACTGACGTGGATACAATGCGTCAATGAATGTAACTAATCACCGTATAATTCAAATGTTGGAAAGATTCAGAGCTCCAAATCAACTTTGCTTCGTTAGTAAATCACAATGTTTGTGTACCTTTGATGTACCACAACAGTTTCTTAAAAAAACTGTCTCGTTAATCCTAATTAAAGGAAACACTAGTTGAAAGAAATCATCATGAACTCCTCTGCCCCAGACAAAGGCATCATGTTGGGCCATCAGACCAATGACAAGGTCGATTTCACAGCTGATTTAACAGATAATTTGTAAATAATTCTTAAAGTGATAGTTCGCACCTGTTGGTAGCAAATTCCGAGAAGGAAGAAAAAATGATTTTGTCGTGGCACGTGCGTATAGCAAAATGAGAAACTTATTTTTCTTCCTCTTCTACACGCGGATTCGCCGTTCATTTCTTGGCCCCTCAAATCTCCTGCAAAACCACAAGTTTCCAGGGCGATTGCGGTTAAGCCTTCACTTCCTTCAAATAGAATCAATACTAACAGTTATTCCCTTTCGGCGAATATTTGTCAGGTTTTAGTATAATTGCTTAGGTGCTTTCGAATTCTGTTGCATATATTCATTTTGATGTTGAAACATTCTGTTTTAATTGTTTTGATTAGTCGTACTGAGATAAAGAGCCAGTTCCTGTTAGCTAGAGCTGGGTTGGTTGATTTAACTCAACAACACAAAATTTTTTCTTTTGAAAAGTGTTACTCCAGACTCATTAGCATCTTTTGTGCTCTTCGGAAGAGGATTTTGTTTATCGCTTTCATCACTTCCCTGGTAAAACTGACAAAACGCGAGATAGCCATTTTAAAATTTAACGCTGCTGTTATAATCACCTCGTGCGAGGTGATTATAGCATCTTTATTATACGTCTAGATTATGGCAAGATATGACGCAATCCTTGACCAATCAGAGCGCACGCATCTCTATAATCCCCCGGGGCAATTATAAAAGAAGAAGATACTTTATTAGCTCTCGGCTTCTTCGACCAGCTTGCGATTGAAAATTTACTTCGCGCCTTTTCAGTGCTTAAATCTCAGTATGTATAAAATAAATATCTTTCTTTTCTGTGCCTCAAACCATGCAGGCAAGACATTGCTGGCCACCCTCGCACCTTTCCAGTGGATCGAGAGAATTTACCAGCTGACGGGGTAATACGACAAACAGAGGTCTTGTAGAAAGTCTATCAATATTCACGTTAGATTTTCTCTTTTTATATTATTTTCTTAATTGATGTTCCATGCTATTAGGAAATTTAATTTTCTTCGACAAAGCCACTGAAAGGTAGATTCTCCCGTTCATTATAAGATGCCCTTTTACAAAGGATGGGTGCCAATGGCGTGGAGAATTAAGGAGCAAAAAGGTAAGATTGATCACTTTGCCTTTATTTTAACCAATAACACATTTTAATCTGTCTAAATCAAAATGCGTTTGATAGTTATCATCTACTGTGGATTATTAAAGGTAATTAAGTGCTTTTAACTTTGGTTTTATCAACAGACTCACTTAATATCCTGTCCCTTCGAAGACATTCAATGCACCAATAAAAATTGCCCTATATCTGTAAAAAGGAAAGATTTTGATGAACACTTAATGGTTACTTGTTTATGGAGAGTCGTACAATGCGTGCACTGCCAAGAGCCACACCCAAAGGGTCAACTAAAGGTAAAATATTACATTATAACAACATCAAGGGGCCACTTCAAAACTGCGAGAGAAAAAGTGAAGAAAATATTACGTACAGGGCAAAAGCGAAACAGGTTACTTACACGTAGAAACGGCAAGGCGCAACCAGCAAACGTGAAAAAATGGCGGGAAAAACAAGGTCACATAATCACTCTTGCCCTTCACGTTTCACGTAAACGTGGTGCTAAATCTCTCTATTTTATCGCTAACTAGATGCACAGCAAAATATGACCTTTTTCTTTTTTTAATACGGCCATACAGATGTAATGTGAATGTCGTGCGCGCTGATTTGCCAGCTGAAGCTATAACCAAGTAGTAAAAAATTAACAGTTGTTTGGTCTATTGACTGCGATAAACAAGTTGTTTTGGTACCGAACAATACCCTTGTCGGAAAGGAAGCGAATCGAATAATCAATTTCTTTTTTTCTACAGAAGCATGTTGATGAAATATGCAAAAAGGTTCAATTGCCCTGTCCCTTAAAGTGTGGCACTCTGGTCCCCAGAGAAAAGGTCAGGATCTAGCCTTCTCATAAATATATGTTATCTGTTTTCTCTAGGGTATAGTAGCGCGCAGCTTGGCAACTTTTTTTTCTGTCAAAGTTCTAACTCCGTATATACCTTGAGGACTTCACCATTTTGTCTAAATCATTTAAATTTTAGATCTACCTGCTTAGATCTACTGCATAGATTGGATGAATCCGGCGAGTTTGTATGGGTATTATTAGGTATGAAATCGACAAGGTTTCAAGTGAAAGGTCCTCTAAAAGTATATTTTATTCAGAAAATGACAGTCTCGTAGCTAATTAAAAAAAGAAGAACAAAGGAAATTAGGGACGACTATTTAATTAAGCTGTCGACAGACATACAAAACAAAAGGAAATAGATCAAGAATTTGAGACTGACTGCAATATTAAATGCATTTCTTACAGATTTCAAACCATTCAATTATTGATTGTCCACAAACGATAATCGACTGTCCCTTTGCTGAAATGGGCTGCAATACCAAGGTAATTATTTCAAGTGATTATCTTAGTATACATACACCAGATGCAAGTTTCTAATAGGTCTTTATCAAGATCTCATGCTTTCCTTCTGACTGATGAGCAAGTTATTTTGGGGAAGAATATAACCAAGAGTATGTCGTCTTGCAAATAAAGACGATTCGATCAAACCACTAAATTAATAAATATGATTGTCCGAAAACGATAATTGACTGTCCCTTTGCTGAAATGGACTGCAATACCAAGGTAATTATTGCATGTGATTATCTTAGAGACCTAGAGGTTGCTAGGTCTTCTCTATCAAAATCTCATACCCTCCTGCCCTGGGCAAATTATTTTGGGGAAGAATATGATCATGAGCATGTCGTCTTGCATATAAAGACGATCCTGTACGTACTTCTGATACTTGTCTCGTGGCTATTGGAACATCGGGTAGCATAGCAGTAGGGCACTTAAAACAGTTGAGGAAAAAGGCACAAGGCGATATTGATTAAAGAAAAGAATATAAGTAAGCTAAAGGGCTGTGTAGCAGCTGGGGTTCTATTAATTTTTTTCTGGATGGCGCTTAATTATACTTTTCTATTGAATCAAACTGCATCAGTGAATAAAGGGCTTGAAAATTAGATTAAGTCTGGAACCTGGATTCATATTTTCAGCTCAAAATCGGAACAGAGAAGGACAGAACAGAACTTTTATTCAATTAACTTTATGTAAACGCATTTAGTGTTAGCACATTGTTACTGATTTCACTAAAGGTGTTTTGGCATTTGTATTATTTAGGATATGAGAGACCCACTATGTCACCACACTGTTCATGTAATTTAAGATGTCTAAACCATGCATGGATTACTTTATGTCTAGTCCTCGGTTGGATAATTTAGTAGTGGTTGTTTTTACATGTAATCTGTTGAAAGGACCTCCTTTCAACAGTAAAGACAAAATATTTTTTAAGGGCGTTACAAAAAACGATAAACAACGCCACTTAATGCCATAATTGACCACTCTCGCTCGAAAACACTTCTTACTTTGATTTTGAGATAGCAACTTTGATTAAAAATTGCTTGAAAGATTATTTTAGCTTTACTTGAGTGGTTATTTTCAATACAGGTGGAGGACAATAATAAAAAGGCCTTTGGAAGTTAGTAAAGGTCGACCTGGGTCGTTTCATAGGTCAGCATTTTAGTGTTTAAGGGGAAAAGAATTCGGACTTTGACAGCTGACCGCTAAATACAGGGTAACCGCTAAATATGGTGCCGCTTTATATAGGTTCGACTGTATGTCGCTTTTACTGGCCTTATTTATCAGTTAATAGTTTACTTTAAAGATCTTTTTTTCAACGGCTGAAGCCACTGAGTACTGCTTTGAAAGAAAAAAACGCTTATAAGTATGTCACATGTGAACAATAATTTACGCACATCTATTGCTGGCAATGTACAAGTTTTCCGCGGGGGCCAGGAATTTTCATTTTATTTAGGATTTCAAAATAACCTATCAGAAGCATTTTTGTTTACCTCCACGCAAGTCAGAGGGCCTATTATTCCCCAGAATAGTTGAATTAGCTTACGAATTTCAGAGAATTACGGCATATTAAAAGGTATGGTGGCTCATAAGGGACATATCGATTTTTTCCGTCGCAACTTACTAACTTGCGATTGCACCTTAGGAACCTGCATCGCAACTTACTAACTTGCGATCGCAACTCACTTGCTATCTGCGGTCCATGTGCGGTAAGCACCTTTTGCGCATGCGTAACATTTTTTTTTTTTTTAATGGAGGACGATGGTGTGGAGGAGGTGAGTTCTTGTTTGTTTGTTGTTTTTTGAGCTTATTCGTTCTAAGGTTACTAAGTGTTTGGGCAAGAATTATAACCATGGCTGCCATTTATGTTCTTTACGGTTGACAGATAATCTGGAAGATCCCAGCCATCTGAGACTTTCAGCAAAACGAGGAAAGTGATCAGAAAGGAACGCTCACGGTTATCAACCATCTTTAGCCACTTATCTAGAGTCAACACGCACGTCCAAAACACATGACTTGTAGTAGCTGCGGTCGCAAGTTACTAAGTTGTAATCTGCGGAATTAGCCATTGCATTACCAAACAAGGCTTTACAAGAGGTCTATAGATGGTGCCCAGTAAATCGCTTAACACCACACCCAGGCTAAACCGAAGTTATGATAATAGGCAAGAAAACCATTATGGGTCGTCTACCAGCGTTGCTTCTAGGAGCCTCTGCTGTGCGTTACGTTGCAAGAACTCCATTATTGGGAATGACTGTAGATCACAACCTCACTTGGATACCGCATGTGTTGGACTTTAAGAAAAACTTCGCGAACAAATTAGAATTATTAAAACGCTCTAGATTTTTACCCAAAGATGTTTTGAAGAAATTTCATTCTAGTGTTATTTTACCAACGATAAATTATGGCCTTGTATTATGGGGATCGTGTTGTAATTCACAGTTAATTAATTCAATTGATAGATTGCACTGTAGGGCCGCCAGGATTATTTTGAATTTATCTAAAGACATGGCATCCAGTGAAGTAATGAAAACCGTGAATTGGTCAATAATTAGATTAAATTACAAAATGGAAATATTTAAATTAATGTAGAACGCATACAAAAATATATTACCTGACAGTTTATGTGGAAATATTTTTTTTTAGTAAACGAGACAACTATGACTCACTGAGAGGGCATAAGGTAGCAACTATCCGCAGACAGAAGCAGATTTATGAAAGACTCATTAGCCTACCGCGGGCCTATATTATGGAATCTGGTGAACTTCAATGAAAAAATAACTAATGTAAGCTTCAAGGAATTAAAGAAACGGCTTACTGCCAGGGATTATTTTAAATATTTTATTTTTGACAGCCCAGCAATCTCCACGCCGAGATACAGAGTCAGCGATTATGTGTACTTTTAAGTTTTTAATTTTTTTTTTCAGTTAGTTTTTATTAAACACTTACATGTATACATTTAGTGACGTAGTTGGCGTAAACGACCCCACAAGCTTGTGAGCTTTAAATCTTATCGTGTGTAAATAAAGGTTTTATGTTATGTTGTGCTGTTGCAATCGCAAGTTACTAAGTTGCGATTGTACTAAGTTACAAAGGTGCGATCGCATCTTAGCAAGGTGCGATCGCAAGTAAGTTGCGATCGCAAGTTACTAAGGTACGATCACATGTTGGTAAGTTGCGATCGCAAGTTAGTAAGTTGCGAGTGCAACTTGGTAACTTGCGAAGGAAAAAAACCATGTGTCCCTTTTGGTGAGGAGTTTGGCTGGACAATAAGTCAAGCTTCGCTCCTTATATGCCCTTATCTATTGTTTGAAGGAAAGGTTTCTATTGTTTGAAGGAAAGGGTTTCTATTGTTTGCAAGACAAAGGGTAGTAATCAGCCGGCGCGTAGCCAGCTCACCGAGCGCGAAATTCGATACTAGTCTTCCCAGTTGACCACTGCACCCAACGAATTTTTTTGCCGCTTTTTAAATTTAATTTACTCCATTTTCACTGCATTATTTGCAATGGGGAAGGACTAGAAAGGAACACCCGTGCTAGTCCAGCCTCCCACCAATCCCACCCTATGGGAGGACATCCAACACACAGTAATCTCGTGTGTGGGAAACTTACGTCTCCTGCCCCAACCCCTGCATGAGACGGGACCTCCATTTATTCGTCCGTATCCGAGAAGAGTAGAATATCTAATCATTTCTTGATGTTATTGAAAGGTAGCAAATTCTTCTCAATTATATAAATAAGGCTATATATATTGGAAAATTGTTTCAATTTTTTAAATAGATAATTGAGAAAGTAAGTGCGCTCTCGTTAGTCAATTGGCGAGTGAAGACGAGTATGTAAACAGTTGGGGCGTCAGGCGACAGCGACTGTGTCGCGGGTTTGCATAACTTTCTCGCTTTTCTCTTTACTCCCCCTCAGGCCTGATTCCACCGAGCGTTTAGATGAGATCATGTAAACAAGGAAAAAGTTTCTATTGCTGTAATTTCAAGAAAGAAACGCTCTTCTTACAGGGAAAAGTAATTGAATCGTCATCTTACGTAACAAATAGAAATGCCTTGACTGTGCTCTTTTCAGTCGTAAAGCTCAGTTATAGACAATGGAAAATTCTGGTCAATTTGCTTTTTACAATAACATTGACATTTTATGCAAGCTGCATACGCCAAATAATTTGGATATATCAACAAAGTTGAAATGGTAAATAAGTCACCGTAATAATTACAAAAGCTTTTGTAATTATTATGGTGGCATATTTACCATTTCAACTTTGTTGATGTATCCAAATTATTTCGTTACTCCTACCGACGCAGCCCCAAACAGTTTCTTTCGAAACTATCAGCCTTTATTCATTTGCATACGCCAAAGTTTTTTGAAGAGTTACGGGCGCGTGACATCGATTGTTGCTTTGTTGTTTGGTTTGTTCTGTGTTATGTAATGACTTCAGCACAATGAAATGGCAGTAAGAAATTTTTGGTAAGAGGCTGTGTTACCCTGAATCGTTTTTTTAATTGTCCACTTATTAACTTTCACGGTAAGCAAGTATTTCTACGAGGTCTACGTCTTTCAACTTTGCGAGCAAATGCATGTCCAATACACCCAATCCGTTGCGATGCGTCTACGGTCGTAGACGAATCGGCACATCGGAAGTCTAATCGTTCGTAAACATACCGCAAGTCGGGCGGCGTAAGTAATACGTGAAATTGAGTGGAACCTTGATTTAACGAAGTGCCAAGGGACTGGGGAAATAAGTTCGCTATATCGCCGAGGGTTCTTCATACACTGAGGTTCTGTGGCATATATTTTACTGTAACTTTAGCCGGGCTGAAACTGAAGTATCGTGCGTTATATCGAGGACTTCGTCATATAGAGGTTCGTTAAATCGAGGTTCCACTGTACCGTGCTATCACCCGGAGGTCCAATCGTGCATTAGCATACCGGAAGTTGAGGGGCGCGCGCACGTGAGCAAAGAGTGAAAATGAGTGGTGTGATACGAGAATATGACTGAACATGACAACATGCAACCTCGTTTCCAGGGTCTCTCATCTTCCCGACCCCTGGAGCGAGAGAAGTGGGGGGGAGGGGGGGGGAAAGAAGATGAGAGACCCTGGGAACGAGGTTGGACAACATGAACCTTCCACGTTCTTAAAGCGTAAAACGGCCGAAGTCCATTGTCAGAATATTATGAACAATACAGAGTAGAAAATGTTGATTCGTCACAGTAAATGACGACCCGTCATGCCAGATGTCCATTTGCAAGACACTTAGAAAATATCCCACAAGTGTCTGTAAAGGGGGGTTGAAGATGTTCTCGAATCGACACGATTCGACTCGATTAGAACGACTCGTTACAATAAATGACAACCAGTCGTACCTGATGTCGATACGCAAGACACTAAGAAAATATTACGTCACACGATGCATATTTTGATTGACAATAGTTCTTGTCCAATGAGCGCGCGAGAAACTCTACAATTATCGTAGATAAGTAGTTTCACATAAGGCACTCCTTATTTCAGCGAGTAATGATGGCGGAAGTACCAGAGCCCTGCTCTCCTTTTGGTTACAAGGATGAATTCGTCAATCCAGTAAATGAAGATATGCAATGTGGAATATGTCATTTGCCGATGAAAGAACCGATGATTACTCGTTGTGGCCACCATTTTTGCCAAGAGTGCATCAAGGAGCACTTACAAAGGTATAGCAATCGAAAATAAGCAACTTAAACTACTGTGCTGTAATATATCTCGGGTGGTATTATAAGTAATTCTGAGTATAAACTTCGAACGTTCTGCAGTGCACATATCGAAATCTTTTGCAGATCATCATCTCAAAGTGTAGATCTAGATAGCAGAAAGTTCTGATTCGTGCTTCCTCAGTTGTCGGCTGCAATGTCTTTCGGTAAATCTAATAAGCTATTCTTACTACATCTGCCCACTCTTGGATGATACAATGTTTTTGTTATTTACCGTGGTGACGTCAGCATTACCAGCTAGATGCAATTGTCTTTGTTCGTGTTTTTCGCTCTTTGCTTAACTCAGTTTTCGCGTCTTGGCGGCTTTTGCTGTTTGCCGCCGCGTGAGCGAGGTAAAAGTGAGCGAGCATTTTCGATTTCTACCCAAGATGCATCTGGATTCTTTAACCACAACACCTTGCACACCCATTACCGCGTGGAACATTTCGTATGTCTTGCTGCTAGTGGAAGTTCGTCGAGGTTGGTTAATTCCTTTTTTTGTGTGTGTCTTTGTGATGAATTTATCTTTTAAGTTATGGTGTCATAAAACGTTTTGAAAATTAATCTTTAAGCGGCTTTTGGTAATTGTTCATGTCTTTCCTTCGAATTTATAGTAATCTACGCACTGACAGAGGTCAACAGAGCCGGAAGCAAGGTAAGATACTCGTTCTCTTCTTTTTTACAGTGCTCTAAATCAGAAAAATATCCAAGTTGTCCTTACGGTAAATGCTGGACAACATAACCCCTGACTTTGTTGCCCTGACGAGGACACGGTGGTCCTTAAAATGTTGTTGGATTTTTGGCTAAAATGTTGTGTTCTGAGCCGTGAAATTATGAATTTATTTTACATTTACAGCGGCGTTAAACAGTGTATCCTAAACAAAACTTCAGATTTCCTCACAGTAAATAAACACAACACGTTCACTTCTAATCATGGTGAAGATACACCTGTGTATTTTCTGAAGCGGGGAAGTAGTTTTCCAAATCCCTACAATTCAAAACAGTTAAATGTCAACTATTCTCAGACTAGATCACGGCGTCTCAGATGACAAAGTAGTGTGAAATCTGTTCTCCCTTAAAAGAGCCAAATTTTCGTACTTAAGATTGAAATGTGAAGGGAACTAGAAATAAACATTGTTCAGAATTTAATTTCATTCAAGATGAAGGCAAGAAATGTATTCCAAAGCACCGAGATATGGAAAATTTAGAAGTCATGCAGATCTGCACGCTTAATTAATTAGGTCTGGGTTAGAAGACAACATGGCAATCTTATTCATTTATTCATTCATTCAATCTTTTTAATTAACCACGGTATTAAAAATTCATTAGGCATGAAATATATATATGTGAATATAAATAACCTAAGTTACATTGTTCAACCAAATTACAGTATCCTGCCTTATTAAACGAAATACGTAGAATTAATTGTGACATAACCTTTGATTTCCTTGTTTTTAAGAATTGTCGTGGATTCCATCGATCAGAATTGAGCTATTCAGAGCAATATTTGTGTCTCACATGTTGAACTTCTGATCTTTATTCTGTTGAGCACCACAATGTAATTAATGTACTGAACTTCAATTTTTCCTGGGTTGTTCGGCGTTTTTTTTCTCGGGCAACAAACCCTTTAAATTTGAATAATTACGTGTTATGTGATGAATTTGCCTTTTATGTTTCGTTGTTATAAAGTGTTTTGACAATCTTTAAGTGGCTTTTGGTAATTGTTGATATTTTTCCTTCCTATGTATAGTAATCTACAGTGATCTACGTACCAACAGAGGTTGACAGAGCTAACTAGAAAATCATGTGACTTATTCTTAAAGCAGAACCTCTGCTGATATATAATAGCAAATGCAATATCGTTTAGATCACACAGAAACAGAAATAATGAGAAAGTTTTAAAATCCAGAACTTATTGTTACATTTTCTTCTTTTTCAGCTTCTAGCAAAAAAACACTATCATGATATCCAGTTGAAAGAGAAACAAAGAATTATGAGTCATCATCATCCAAAAATTGGTTTTGTTAAATTTTATTATTTTTCAACTTAAACGAATTATGAGAAATTCCTTTTTATTACCCAGGAGTGGTTGTTGTTATACAATTTCATTTTAAACTTCTCATAAAAGATTGATTGTCGTTCATGTTTCAGTTTTTGAATAATTGTAACAGCTCAGTATACATATTGGGACATGAAACTTCAAAGCACGAGCTTTGGTGATAAATGAACCTTTAGAGATAAATAAACCAACAAATTGTTTCCAACCAAAAAAAGGGTTTAATGAGATATTTTGGTAATTGTTAAGTTAAGAATTGTAATTGCTGAATAGCCAAATAAACTTAGTTTCATTGGCCAATTGTAATTGGTTATGTTGTTATTAGATACATCACATTTAGCCAGCACTTCTTTATGTATTAGGTACACCAGTTAGTTTTATATATTTGTTTGCTTCTTTTGTTTATAGAGACAGTGTCATGGTTGGGCTTGTTAATAGAAACATTAATTCCATTAATTCTAACAATTTATCTTGTCAGCCATCTTCGATTTCAAACATAATGTAAATATAAGGCTTAGAAGGCATAAAAATTAATTAGAATTCCCTGTTTATTGATTGACCAAGTCCTCCCTCACTATATCTTGAACATCCAAGCCTCCACTTATGAGGAATTTTAAGTTATGAACCCTGGAGTCAAACAGATTCTGTACAACAATGGAAAGATTTCACTTGCAGGGATAATTTTACCTTACTCACCTGTTTTGGCATAAATTAATTGGGAGAAAGCACTCTTAACAGTGCTTTTTTTTGCTTTTAACAGAAGAACTATGCTCAGAGCCCAGTGCATACAATCTGAGTGATTAAGTCTTGGTCGATGTGGCGGCAAGTTATACTTGTGTTGTATCTGTACAAACATGCATTAAAAGACAGCACCTCACAATTCACAGCTCATTTTAATTTCCTGCACGGTGATATGTATATTAATTTATTTAACACTTTAGTAAATAACAGCATGTGAACTTCTGCCATTGTGGTTCAACATGTAGCTCTTCTCTTTCCTCCTCATTTGTGGCCTTTTTTACTGTAAAAGTGGGTTGGTGAAAGTTACCATTATTAGTCATACTAGTTACCTACATACTCAAGATCTTTCAACAAGAGTGCTATATTTTCTTCACAAAGATAACAACTCAAAAATTATCCTAAAATTGTTTCAATCCCTGAACTAACTCTCACCTCTTCGTTCAACAGGGTTTTCCAATAGTGCACGACTTTTTCTTTTGGTAGAATGCCACTTCTTAATTTTCAGACAGAACGTTGAGAGTTTTTTTGCAAAGGTTCATAAACAATTTGCCTAACACATCTCAGTTAGTCAGTCACATGCAAGTCCTTAGAGTATGATTGAGTGGGGGTATTTTGTTGGAATTGTAATCAGTCTGCTTTCATGAATTAATTTTATTGAACTACCCTGCTGAAAAAGGGATGGTTTTGTGCTCAGTATACAATCTATGATCATACTGCCACAATTTTGTGGTTTTCAAGCAGAGCCCCTCTAATGAATAACTCTGACAATCCTTGATTGATATGTAAAGGTGTTTTGTTCGCATTCAAAAATAGTTTCCTTTCAGTAACTATAACAGGCAACGTTAGACTGTGCAGCTTCAAGCTGAAATAATGGAAAAAATTGTAGACAAGCAAATATATCTGAGGAACAAGGTTGTTCAGTTATCAGACATCAGATATATTGTTTAGTTATTTTAAGACCCAAGGAAACACAATCAAATCTCAGTTGCTACTAGATTCAAGTGAAGAGGTGTGCACCAAAACAAGTCTAATTTGTTCTTCATTCCTCCTCATGCAAGAGCTTATATTTAATTACCCAACGGTCAATTGCCAACTATGCATTAAATGTCAACACTGCCTCATTTTCCTTCTTTTCCTGCCACAGGCTAGCTTTCACAATTCAAACATTTCCATTTCTTTCCATCAGCTCAGCCAGAGAAAATAAAAGTTAGTGGTATTTACCCAATTTACATAAAATTACTGTGCGTGATACAAAAGCGGTAGGGCATAGCAGATACATGCAGTAATCTGTCCCAGCATATAGAAAAAGGATTAGCAACTTTCAAAAACATAAAAGGGAGTTTAGCTTTTGTGACACTGTATTATCAACGTAGTTAGTAACAATGCTTCCCAGTTTGTAGTCCTGTTTTCTGAAGTAATTTTCGGTTGGGAGATGATAAAATGCAGAGCCCTACTCCTACTCCATGGAGTACCCTATGTGAAGAGTTAGCGACCCTATGTAGACCGCTGATCGGTATACCGCTGACCAAGTACCGGGGACGAGGGAAAAACTGATCGAACAGCCATGCTTCCTAAAGTAAATGTTTATTATTTTATCTACTTTACGAGCAACTTGTAGGAGAATAAGCATACCATTGCTTAATTTGTAAGTATGTTACGGTTATTTACAGCTATACTTGTTCTAGTAATTCTAGCTTGTATTTTCTATTGCAAAATCTCTTCTACATCGTTGTTCGAAAATAAAGCTGTAACATCGAGGAGAACTCTTCACTATAGAGTGCCTAAATGGAGTACTCCTTAAACATTTTGTATTCGTCAAGTAAAATACTCTATAAAAATGCAAAAATTTAATTTTCTGGGGGGGGCAGGGGACTCTCATTCTTACTGCTTCTTCCATTTTGGTTTTACCACTGTGTAACGAGTCCTTTGACAGGAATATAAAAAAACTCCATATGATGAACAAAGCCCACTGTTTTGAGTTCTACATGAGGTATAATATTTAAGCTCACTAGATTTTCCAAATTGATGTCCCCAGTCCAATTTAATTGCTGAACCCCCTTGCTGTTTTATTTTTTGTTTGTTTACATATGAATGACAGCTTTGGTTAAGACTTAAAAAGAGTAATCCATGTGTTTTAACTAAGCTTCTTCTTCACCCATCTGTTTGTAATGTAATAAAATTGAGATATGTAAGCCAACAAACAAAAACCAAAACAGCGATGGGTAAAGAAATTAATCTGATTGGGGCCACTGATTTGGAGGAACCAGTTAGACTGACAGCCTGTCAAAAATTGGCCTGTATTAAATCAATCTGAGAGGCTAGGAAGCACAAAGTATATCAAGATGTGTACATCTAAATGACTTACCATTTTTATAAAGTGTTTTATTTGACCAATGGTGATTTTTAGGGGTATCTGCATTTTGTCATCTCCCCAAAGAGCTTGTGTCTCACTGAATCACAGTCTTACTGTCGGCTGGCAGATATACTACTAAAGTATTACTTCTGACACACGGAAATATTTTTTATTTTCCTGTGACCGAAACATCTACAATAATATGTTGTGAATTTTTGAGACTAAAAAAGTTAGACTAACTATGATTGGAGATAATTCTAAATGATGAAAATATATCAACAATATGTTATGTGCGTTGGAGATTTCATTTTTTCATTTAGAATTATCTCAAATCAAAATTAGTCTAATAACTTTATAATCTCAAAAATCACAACAAATTGCTAAACTGATTATCAGGCTCAGTACATTGTAACAGAATTCACATTATTCAAGAAAGCGGTTTTTTGTTGAGTACTGTTGTGTTTTGTTCAGTTTCCTCTACGAATTTTACACAAACCTTCGTCTTCATGCAAAACACACCTCACACTTTGTACGGAGAAGGATATAACTTAGAAATGAATGGAAAGAGACACTCCAGAAGAAGAGTTGGAAATGGACTTCCCTCATCTTATGCGTAAGCGAAGAATGATTGAAATAGAAATCGCTGTGAACAGTACTGTTACCTTTGTCTTTACCGTTCGCCTGCATAGACTGCCTGGTGTTGTTTAGCAGATTTTGAAGCTGATTTTTCCATTGAAAGTAGCTGTAGTGGATTTGCGATGTGCATACTCGCCTTTGTCCGCACTGACGGCACTAACCGAGCACAACACGTATGAAGGAAACTCTAAACGTAGCCTCATCCTGCAAATTATTAAAGAGCTGAGATGACAAAAACAAGCTGCAGAAAATAAGGTTTTTTTGAAAAAGAATCATCCACGGATGGCAAAGAGGGAGAACGATACAACTCTACAACCGATTACAATGACGAATTTTGAAAACCTTCCCAAACCTTTTCAAGCCTTAGACGTATCAGAGCGCATGCGTCACTGTGATACTGTCGTTTAATTCTGTGATAGGTTTTATAAATTGTATTGTATTTTCAGGTATACTTGGGTTTGCTGAATTACTTCTAGTTAGCTCTTGTTTAGTTCCGCGTTAGTTCAGATTAAGTTTGCGTTTTTTAAAGCTGAATTCAGGTTTATTTTTGTGTGATTAAGTGACAATTGTTTTTTACTGCATTGTTTCGTTTCGATCAATTTGCCTGTTTTTGCTTCGTTAAAATTGTTTAACTCAACTCCTTTTGCTTTCGATGGTAGATGGTAGATAAATGGTGGCACGTAAATACATTGTGACTTCAGTTATAGAAATGATTCTGCCAGGAGACTTTTTCCTACAGCTTATAAGTTGTGATGAGTTGTTATAAAAATATGTATCAACATAAGAGCATTTTAAATCGGGTAATCACTTTCACAGGGAAGAACCTCATGGCTTTTGCCCTGTAGACAGAGAAGCCGTGGATCAATACAAGGTATTTATAATTTTTTTGGTTCAATAAACCCGAAAGAGATTCTATGAGTGATGCTGTCACAAGGAGCAGTAATAAATTAAGTGAAGATTACCTGTAAGTTGAAGTTTGATTGGAATTTCACCGAGTTACAGAATGCCATGTGGACCACATGAGATTGCCAGGGAATGCGCAGATCAGTATTAAAAGACTTGATGGACGTGGGTTTTTTTAAGTGAGACATACGTGGTTGATTGGATTGGGCATGTGATTTCCATGGCATCAGTAACTCGAATTCCAATCAAACTTCAACTTACAGGTAAGTCTCTTTTAATTTGTAAATTCTGCCGTGCTACCATGCCAGAGTATCCTATGAGATGACAAGTGCAGTGTGGGAAATAAAGAACCCCAAAACACAGCTGTCACAAACTAACCACATTTTAATTTCTCTGCAGACACACCATTAGCGATCTTTGGATCGTGATCCACATCATCGTGAGACAAATGAAAATGCTTTATTGTTAAATTAAAAGATATAGCTAAATCAAAAGTTGGCCCCCACAAGTAAATTTTTATGTATTTTCAATTTTTTTCGCCACCGTAGGACATTTTCCCTAATAAAGACAAGGAGAGGAAGATCTTAGCTCTTGCTGTAAGATGTGGTAATGAAGGCTGCCAATGGGCTGATGAACTAAGATTGAAGGAGGTTTGAAGACTGTTTTTGATGTTCATGACATCTTAACTGAGCGAGCGGCTAGATGTATTACAGTAAATAGTTTAAACCCGGGGGTGACATGTGGAAGTGTTGTGCGATCGTCCGGATGAGTGTAGTCCTGAGAAGGACTGTCGTCGGTGGCGGTGACTGAGGTTCTGGATAGGATAACATCAGAAGTAGAATGGCCTCCACTATACAGTCAGTGTCACTATATGACAACAACTCGACTAAAGACAAACAATATGCACTGAAACGACTAAGAAACGACGAGAACACTGTGTTTCTATCAGCCGACAAAGGACGCGTTACTGTTGTCATGGACAAAACCGACCATCACCGGACAAAATTGACTCCCTAGTTAACAATAAATAAACCTACGAAAAACTCAAACGTGACCCGACTCCAGCAATTCAACACAGACTCAACAGTAAACTACTTACACTCAAGAAGAAAAACGCCATCGACACCAAACGCTACTATCGAATGAGGTGCTCAGTACCACAGCCACCGAAACTCTACGCTTTGCCAAAATATACAAACCTGATTTCCCGATGCGACCTATTGTTTCTTTCTGTGATTCTCCTACATACCAACTATCCAAGTACATGACGACAATACTACATCCGCTGACCGACAAATGCTGACGTAAACTACAGTCTACTGAGGTCATCATTAACGCTACCAAGACTGTGCCGATACCTGACGACTACAAACTAGTGTCTGATGTAAAATCGCTGTTTACAAGTATTCCACTTCAACTGGCACTAAAATGTACTGAGACTGCAATCTGAAAATCTACCTTCCCTTTACCGCTACCGACATGCGACATTATGAACCCACTGAACCTTTGCCTGACGTCAAATTACCTTCAGTATAAGGATAAGCACTACGAAAAGTTACACGAAACAGTCATGGGGTCTCCAGTTTCTGTTGTTGTAGCAGAAATTGTGATACAGAACATCGAGGAACGCGCCCTTTCGACTTGTCCACGAACGATACCGCTTTAGTTACGCTACCTTGACGATACATTCACTGCCGTGCGACACGTCGAAATCGACGTATTCCACTACCGCCTTAACAGACAACTGACATAAAGTTTACCAGAGAAGTCGAAGAAAATGGTGAATTTGCTTTTCAAGAATGTCTGGTAGGCCTTGACGACAACTCACTACGGACGACAGTTTACTACAGGAAACCGACACACACCGACAGATTACTAGACGAGTCATCCTACAACCCTACATCACACAAAGCCACAACTCTTACGACTCTAACACAACGAGCGCAACTAGTAAGCAACGCGACAGACAGCTTATCTGACGAGAACAAATACCTTGACCGTGTTTTTCAAAGAACAACTACAACGAGGAGTTCCTTCGACGAAACACTCCCCGACCTACCGCTTCTAACGAAACAAACGACGCCGCAACTACTTGGACTACAGCGACCATACCGTACATAAAGAGCATGTCTGACAACATCTCGCGCATCCTACAACCCTTCAATATCCGCGTCACCCACAAACCGATCACTATGCTACGTGAGTTACTAACCAACGTTAAAGACAAGGACGAACCGAGAAACAGGCAGCGAGCAATTGCTCCGAATGCCAAGTCTCCTGCATTGGAGAAACTGTTAGAAACCTCGCAACAAAACTGACTAAACACAAACGGGAAACGAGTAAAGGTGATGTCAACAATCACATTGCTGAACATCATCAACTTACGAACCACACTATTGAATGGGACTCTGTGTAATGCCTAACCTACAGCACTAAATCGTTTCAACGACTGACTCTGGAAAGCTGGTTTACTAATTTAGAACAGACTCCCCTAAACAGGTGTCAACCACTACCGGCACCATACAAACAACTCATTCACGACATAAACATTACAAACGAACCGAAAAGATCGAACTAACTCTACCGACGGATCGAAACAGACCAATCACGAACGACTTACGCCACTTGAGTCTCACAGCCAATAATATTACGGCAAAACTGACTAATCGTTTTACACGAACTGAACTAAGAACATTCTACTGGTAACAACTTTTCACTTGACTCTGATGATGACTTCCGCACCAGTTGTCGAAACGTCAGTCACCACCACCGACAAGAGACCTTCTCAGGACTACACTCACCCGGCCGATGGCACAACACTTTAAGATGAGCTAGATGTATCATTGGATTAGTGACTTTTGTCTTTCCTTTTTGTCCTTCACAGATTCACTTGGGAGATTGTCCTTTCAAAGTGATTCCATGCCCTCTCTGTAAAGTTACAATGGTACGGAGAGATCTTGATGCTCATAGCTCCACTCAGTGCCCATGGAGAAAGTTACGGTGTGATCACTGCCAAGGGCAATATCCGGATTGTCAGATGGAGGTATATAGACTCTCCAACAATTAAAAGCTAACGAAAGTTCTCTGGTGTTTGTCTTATTGCGTTTTTGAAATATCTTTAAGTGTGCTCTTCCATGCTATGGAATGTCGCACTTGTGAAAACAATGTCTTTTAATGCAATGAAACCTTATTGTTTTTAAAATCAAACTTCGTACTTGAAATTCATTCTAGACCATAATGTTAGTGAATTGGCTCAAACTTCCGCATAGCATTGTTACTGAAGTAGGTTACATATTGCGCAAATTAAAGTACATTCCAAGCTAACAAATGTCAAATGTTGTAGATACTTGCTATATGTAAATGGTTAAAATGAATCAATTTTTACCTAGAAAATGCTCACTGATGGAAATGGAAATGGTTCCGCGCTAGCAGCTGAACTACTCACGCCAATGAATTTATATTTTCCGCTTATGATCAGCTAACTGTATCCTGTTTTTCCACAGGAGCATCACGAGAGCTGTGACGGATATCCAGTACATTGTGATCATGAGGGATGTACTGCCATAGCTTCCCGGGGGATGGTTAGAAAACAACTCCTAACATAACATTCTTTTGAAAGGATTCTAGTCCTCTTTTTCTGAAAAAATTATATTAACGGTCGGAAAATAAGAAGTGTAACAGTAATTCTTTTTAAAAGGCTTCATATGTTTACCGGCACATGCAATTATCCAAGGTTTGTCACAACTCATACTCAGCAGAATTTTACATGATTTTGGATTCTACCACCACATTTTTTTAAGTAAAGCCGAAAGAGGCTATGTATATCAAATGGGAGAATCAAACTTTAAACCAAAAGTCAGGTTTATCTCTTTCTTTGGGTGATTCTCATTTTATCATATAATTTCTATTATTACCTTCCCAATTTTCTATAATTTTATAGTGTCGGCTTTTACCTGGTTTATGTCAAAATACCGTGTTTCAGTTATATTTATTTAATTAGTTTACGAATACATGCAAAGTGTAGTCTAAGAAACACGCCGGTAATGTATTTCTAAAGTTAAATTCAAATTGTAATATGAGCATTTGCAACTGAAGATGACATGGGTATGGTTGAAAGAGGATTGAAAACTTAAAATGTTGTTTCTTATTAAGAATACTAAAATAACCATTCACCTCAGCGTGGAGTGGTGGATAATTACCTCTCTTGTTTACTATTAAGTCAATAAGAAGTACTATTGACCTCCCCTTCGGCCGATAATTCTAGACAATTTCTAAAAAACTTATTGATGTTTTTTTAGCTTCAAGATCACAAGGACAACTACTGCGCGAAAACCAAACTTCCTTGTTACTTTGCTCAGCTGGGCTGCCAAAAAGAGGTACATGAACGACATATTTTAACATTTTTTTTACTGTTCTAAGTAGGTTTTCCAAATTGAAGTTATTTGTCGCAATCAAAACTTTCGTCGCCCATACACCCTTTTTTTCCCAGTCATTTTGCCGTCTTATTTGACCCAAACGCTTACTGTACAGGGGTGAAGGGACCTCGGAAGTGATTTTTATAGCAAGTTCCTGAAGTCTCATTTAATCACACAAGATTTTATTCCCACCTCAAGATTCGCCTTTATCAGAAAAGGAACACATGAACTCGCATTTCAAAGAAATTGTAGGGTTTTTTTGTAACTTGAACTCGAGGAAAGACTGATGGAGATTGAACACATTATTGTAGGTTCTACGGGAAAACCTGGAAACCCACCTCCTGTCGACTCACAAGGAACATATCCACTTACTTTTGAACGTGAGTAAGAAGTTACAGAAAATATGTTATTTACATGGAATTAAACGATAGTCTTAAGAGACGACTCGTAGATCGGGAAAACGAGTGTTATGAATTGTTTTGGTTCATTGTGAATCCATTTTTTATAAGATTACTCTTTAAGATTTTTCCTTGACTGTTATCAAGAAATGTTTCTCGAACAATGACGTTTTCGGTGATAAATTTTTGTGTTTTTCTGCTGATCTTGGAGAATTAAACCTCTTGATAAAAGCAGTAACCCAACTACCTTAATGACCCGTATTAAAATAGACAAAAAATGTACTTGATATTCCCAACCAAAAAGTGGATCTTCAATCACTAAAACTAAAACAAGAAGTTTGATCTTGTTCCAAACTAATGTCAATGTAAATACAGAATTTAGTAAACAGATTCAAAATTTCATTTTACCACAGGAAATAGACCTCTTGAAAAGAAGCAATTTGGCTCTTAAAGAGGAGGGCAAAGCAAAAATTCAGCAGATAGAACGTACCTTGAAGATACTAATGGACGAGAAAGAACATGCTCGGAAGGTACAAATGGAGGAGAAAGAACAAGCCCCGAAGATACAAATGGAGGAGAAAGAGCATGCCCGGAAAGAAGATGCCTCGAGGCAGCCGGATAAGAAGGAAAAATGCTTTAAGTATGCATTGATCGCTTTTTTTATAGTTGTCGCTCTTTTTGTCATATCATTTTGTCAGTCTCGAGAATTGAAGAGACAAATAAATGAGAAAGAACAAGCCTCGAATGGAAAAATGGATGAGGAAGTACGAGCCTTGAATGGAAAAATTGATGAGAAAGAACAAGCCTTGAATGGAAAAATGGATGAGGAAGTACAAGCCTTGAAGATACAAACGAGTGAGATTAGAGAAGAATTGAAGAGACTAATGGATGAGAAAGAAAAAGCCTTGAAGGGACAAATGGACGAGAGAGAAAATTCTTTGATTAGCAAAGAACAAGCCTTGAATGAGAAAATAGATGAGAAAATACAAGCCTTGACGAAAAAGATAGACAAGCTCGAAGAAGCATTGGAGAGAAAGATTGATGAGAGCAAACAAACCTTGAGGAAAGAACTGAATAATTCATCTCTTATCTCAGTTGGCGTCGCGGCTGTTTCCATTTTGATATCTTTTGGTTTGAAACATATTTCCATCCCATTTAATTAAGATATCGTTTACTAATGGTTAAAGGATTTCGAAGTTTTGAGCCAAATGTTTGATACTGTTTAACGCTTTGGAAATGATGTGAATCAATAATACTCTTTCACAGGAAATGAATTTCATTACGATTGATAATGTTAGTCACTTAATAGTAAGAAATAATTCTATTACGAGTGAAACGACGAAGGTCTGAAAAACACTCTAGTGAGTGATTATTGTTTTCAAGATTATGATCTCTTTAGTCATCGTCATCACCGTTATTATTTTTGTTATTATGGTTATTCTTGTTACTATCATTGTCGTCATTATAATCATCATTGTTTTTCTTGTTATCATCAATAGCTTAATTTTCATTATCATTAGAATAATTTTTACCCTTGTTATTGACAGCACTAAGCTGCAGGGGAAACATAAATTCACTTACAAACATTGTAATCTCACCCCAAAACTATATCGCATAGTTCTTTTATCTTATTGCACGAACAAACTAGTCTGAGGTTTTCTTTTTTCAAAAGTGAAACTACTGCTCCAGTCATAATAGAATGTAATCTAAGAACAGATTTTTTTTTTTTTTTGTTTTTGCATTGATTTTTTTTAGAACAGATTTTCGAAGGGGAAAGTAAGTATCATATAAAGGTTTAGAATAAGTCATATTCTTTAAAAAATTTATAAGAATTTTTTTTTTCCGATTTGATTCTTTCATGGAGATGTAGAAACTGTTTTCATAAATTTAACTTTTCCTACAGCGCCGACGTGTCTATTCACGTATTCGTGTCATTTGCGTAAAACTAATGTAAAATATTATCCTTGTCAGAAAATCACAGGAATAATTAAATTTTCCGTTAAGGTCAAATTATAGTGGCAGTGAAGAATGTATTTAACTATTAAATCTCTTATGGAGGAAAATTGCGAACGGTACGGAAATACGGAAAGCTAACTTGTGAACTGAACCTTAATGTTTTAGGCAAAGTTCTAAACAGGAGGATTGTCAAGTTAATTTAGTTTTGGTGTACTCCAGAGAAAAAAACAAACAAACAAACAAACAGACAAACAAAATCTAACAGAAAAAGTTTACGTAACAGTATACACCAAAGAGCTGTGAAATTTCGCCAAAATTAAGTATAAGGATTGTTACTGTAAGTTGCCCCATTGTAACAAGTATTACTCTTTTAGGATTGCCCTTTCTTTATATATCTTGGTATTGTCAGAATCAGCACGTGATTTGGTTATATTTTAAAACGCCTAAAATGATGTTCTGGATTATGCGCAAAATTAAGCAGGCATAAACTGATCGTGGCTGCAAAATACAACGACAATGATCCTTTCCCAGAAAGTTAGCTTGCCATACCTTGCTGCCATTTTGAAGTACTAATGTATACTAATTAATGGTAGTGGTGTTAAATATGTGTGTATCACTATTTGAGAAACAAGCTGCGATAGTTATATCATTACATTAGTCCGCGGGAGTAGCTTATATTTGTTCTTGATTGTCCAAGGAACTCAACGGGGGATAAAATACAAATAATTAAGTGCTAAATGTTAGATGTATGTAAGTAGGCTGCCTTTGTAGAAGAATAAAGAGTATATTTCTTGGTTGCTGGAGAAAAGGTTTAAATTTATTGAATTTTGTGGTTTTGTATGGACAAAGTGTTAATAATATTCCATTAACTCGGTTATTGTAAAATGGATAACTAATTAGTGGAAGTATGCGACGCTTTTCTCGCAAAAACAAAAACAAAAAGGTATTTTATCGAAAAACTTGCATTCCAAAATTTGGGAAAAAACCCTCAACATTCAAACAAGGACGCTGATAATGTTAGTTATGATTGCTAATTATTCAACTCCACCGTCCATTTTGCTATGAGTTCACAGGAAGCTCACGTTTCTTATATTTGTGAAAATGCTGCTATCTCCTTAAAGTCCAAAGGGGCAATTACGGACTTGACGACGGGGGGAGGGGAAGGGCTCGGTAATTTTTTTCTCATCCCTGCCCCACACCCCCATTGGCAGTCCCTCCTTTATACTGTCGACGAAAACTGATCTCATTCCTTTCATCCTGAAAACTGTATGTTCCCCAAATAACAGCTGGTCCCTTAACCCGCTGGAATGGCCTCAGGTGTGTTAAAGACCCGCACGATATATCGATTCGCCATGCTCGAGTCGTTGTTTACTGGACTTGACAGCGAAATAATCGCGTAACGTTCTATGGGAAATTCTGAAAATAATCTGATTTTTTCGCTTTTGCTTTAACGGCAAAATCTCTTTTTGAACAATACTGTTAGGGCATATCGACACTTAAAAGTAATTTTTAGCTGTCCAAAGCTAAAACTGAGGTCAGCAAATTCATTTTTCGTTTTCCAGCCCAAATTAGTATCACGTTTGAGAATCAAAGTTAACTCGAAAGCTTGTTTTCTAAAGTATCGTTTAACGTAACTTACTTTCATTTTGAACTTCTAAAAGTATATCTCAATCGAAAAACTATGAAACCACTTACGGCCAACTGGACGGGAACTATACCGTAAGTGAATGGCCATGGAAATTTTTTTACAAGCGATGACTGATGTCGTGGGCTTACACATTAGGATAGGATGCACTCTTACGTATATTGCATTTATTAGCTATGCAAGATGATGTAATGGATTATGTTGAATGATTTTTAAAACGTTCACAACGTTTCCCCAGAGTAAGTTCCTTAGCGTGTCTCTCGCATTCCAGTCAATTTAGATTTCCTCAGCTCGGCTTTTCTTTTCAATGTCTGAACTGAACAGAGTTGATGGAAAATCATTCGTGTACATAATTTGTATTCTTTGATATTTTGGTTTTATCTACTGAGTTGATCTACGCGTTTTACGGCTTTCCTTGTTGCCTAGATGTAGGAAAAGGCTGCAGGCTGCCTTATGCTACTTAGAATGATCAGGGGATATTAGTAAAATGTCCAGCGACAGCTTCGGATGCGTCTTAATTCAATTGGACATCAATCTCTCGTCCATTAAGGATTTCTTCCCAATAGATTTGCTGTCTTTTGACGGTGAGTAAAATGCACTAGAGTCAAATGATGTCATTTTTATGTCAGATATTGTAAAAACTTCGATGAAAGTTATGCCAATCTATGTTCTTATGTTTAGCTATACCAGATATACACGATTTCTATAGGTAATCGCGTGGGGCCGAGTAAAATTAAGGATTAATATCACGCGTGTTTTCAGAACTGCGCCAGTGTTCAGTCGAGGACATCACTCTCGTACTCTTCTAAATTTGCTTGGAAGTTTCTTTCATTCGCCCACTTTTTAAAAACTTTATTCCAGTACTCCGTGCTTTTCCTCGTGTTTTCGTTTTCACTCTTGTCTTTTAATTCTTCGATATATTCCTCGTCAACTATCTCGAAACGAGACGCCATTGTTACAGAAAATCTTCAGCAACAACTTTTCGATAGCATAAGCTGTTACTAGGCAACCTGAGTACCAATCATGAGCTCGTAATTTTGCCCTCTTCTCAAGCAAAATTCGTATGTGTAATCAAATGACGACGAGTGAAATTAGGAAATAATTTCACGTGCGCTTTGTCAAAATTCTTATAATTTCGACAAAATGCAAGTGAAATTATTTCCTAATTTCACGAGAAAACCATTTGATTACCTTTTAATATCGTGGGTGACAAATTACGTCTTGTTTACCGCACGGAGGCGTAAAATCGCTCGAGTACTTTATCCAACTGCTCTTAAAGAATCATCTCCAGGTTTTATCAAGGCTATTTTCGTCACACCACTTCTCAAAAAATCGCACCCAGTTCGATTGTACTCTTTCTCGTATTTCAATTTTCGGCCGCTTCTTTTAATTTTGTAACTTCCTCAAGGGTCGCCGTCTTAAATCTCGACGCCAAATTGGCTCTGATCGAGATACAAGAGATGTTACCATGGCAATTTTGTAATTTCACATGCGAAATTTAAATTTAACGCTGAAATTTCGCGCCAAAATGAAGGAGTAATTTGTCACCTGTGATATTAAGAAAAAAAATTCCCTCCTCATTGACCAATCAGCATTCAGTAATTTTGCCCTCTATTTTATCAATACATCAATGATGATCTCAATGGGGCCAACTGTTAGCCGTAAAACGGCCAAAATAATTCAGCCATTAGAAGTAAAGATTGACAACTTTTAACCGTTCGTAGTCCTAAATTTTAACTGCTAGCCATAAAAGCCATCGTTCTATGAAGAACCTCATTAGATATATTGAAAGAAACTCCAAAGATTTCGGTAGAGATAAACAACTATTTTTGGCTTCGAAATTACATGTCTGGATATCAAATAATTGTTCCAACAAGAATATTTGTAAGTCTCAACGTTAAAGTCTACCGAAGCAACACAACTTCTTAGAGACATTATTGTCAATGTATCAGTTTCCTTGGAATGAGCTATCGTCTAAAGATATTTAATCCACTCGATTTGAGTTAAAAATAATGTTTGTAGTTTCCGGGATTGGTACTTCTTCAGGGTCTCCGAAAAATCGAGAATACCTCTGTGCTGTTCATGAAAAAAGTGTATAATTTGACTTTCGTAATACAGTGCTCAATACATAGAAGTAGAGCGATGTATATATATTGTGGGAGCAAAAAGACAAATAAACTACAAGTTCATCCCTACAATCCTGTTTCGTGGTTGCCCACTCATCAGGGGATTTAATGAGAGGCGAAGTCGAGTGCTTTGTTTAGGAGGTCTTGGCTGATGGATAGATAGGACTCTTCCATGTCGAACTAGGTGAAGCTGAAGTGTTGTTTAATTTGTTTTCGATAGATTTAAACCAATGTTCTCTGCCTCAAAGAAAAATTCATCCCCCGACCCGACTATCAACACTAAACAAATGCAATGAACTCGTGTCTTCCTGCCGCCACAGAAGCGAAGCCCTCCTACGCAACAACTAAACTGTTAAATTTCGCGCTGCATAAATTAGATCAGTCAGATTATGTAAATTATATTATATTGGATACAAGCGATGGTAAAGATTATTCTCATTGAATCCCCTGATGAGTGGGCAACCACGAAACAGCTTGTAGAGATGAACTTGTAGTTTATTTGTCTTTTTTCTCCCACAATATATATATATATAACTGCAGTTATATATATATATATATATAACTGCAGACAGTACTGTTTCGGCCTTCTGGGTCTCATCAGTGCAGTGCTGATGCTAGGATGGGGGAGAACCGATTTAGTATAATTTGAGAGCTGAGCAAAGAGTTTCCACTTATCTGATTGATCGAGCGGTTCCTTATGTTTAGTTCTTATTAACCGAGCGGGAGGCCTGTAAGGGAAGAATCTTGACCGAGGTCGCCAGTACAGACCGAACGCAGTGAGGTCTGTACCAGCGACCGAGGTCAAGATTCTCCCATACAGNAAAACAAAGAAACAATCAGATTTGATATTTTAGCAGTACGATTTATTTTCAAACAGTATTCTTTGGTTTTGGCCTTTTCCCTTAATTTATTTAAAAGAATTACAGGTAGTATTAGTATCGAACGAAAGCCTGTTAAATTGTCATGAGTAATTTCAAAATAAATGCTATAAATTGTTGTTGAATTTTCATTTGAAAATATACCAGCAAGTGATCACGCGCGCAAATCACACTCGCGAAGTTGAATTGACACTTTATTGGGGAGAGAAGACAGCACTTTTGCCGTTTCACGTAAACGCGGTGCTAAATCTTTCTGGTGACGGCGATGGAGACGCAAAAAGCGGCAGAGTACAATCAGAAAGAGAAAACAGAAACGACTCTCATGGCTCAAAAGAATACAAACTACGTGGATTTATTACGCCTCAAACAATATATCGGCTTTATTTCCCAGCTCTCGAAATAAAAAATTCATTCTTTATTCTAAATAAAGCGAGATATTTTGCTGTATAATATATTGACCAAGCATTATCAGTTCAGATGTCTGGACATTAGCCTCATCCTTTTTTTTCTTTTTTCGCTTTAACCGATCTAGACTCCATCTCGGTCGATAAAAACACCAAAACAGGAGTTGGCAAATATCCGGCCATCATAAACTCTTAAACTCGTTTGGTGAATAACCCATATGTCAGTCATCTTTTCAGGTGCAAATCAAATAAGATATATTTGGGGTACAATCACGACGACCCAGGGAGAAGGAAGAGCAGGTTACGAGAAGTGCTTCACTAGCACAGTGCATACTCTGAAGGTGACTTTACCGAAGGAGGACATTCAAGAAGTGTTTGACAAGTGGGCGGACTGTTATGAGAGGGTAAATAAATTTCGATTGCAAATATGTAAGGTCATGAGAGGGTAAATAAATTACGATCGTAAATATGTAAGGTTCATGACTTTTGTATAACGATTCCCCTTGCCTGTCCAAGAGCATGAATGGGTAGTTGCAAACTCTCCAAAAAACCTTTGTGAAATGCTTTGCATCTTTTGATGGACTTTCATCAAGGAAAAGCAGTATTCTCAACCGATCAGAGCTACATCAAGGTAGGATAAGCCTATCAGGTTATGCGCAGACTTTGCATTGGGTAGTGAGTGTGTCACGATAAAATTCACCTGATCCCTCCCTCCCTAAGGCTCTATAAAATTCTTATGACCCCCCGCCACCCTC